AGATGCGTATCCTAGCTACACACTGGACAGTGGTGATGAAGCACTTATTCTCGAGGACCAAGCTGAAAGCGTCTACAATAATGCACAGCAGATTCAGTACCCTCCTCAACCCGAGGTTCAATTTGGATTCCCGAAGATATGTTACTATGGTGGTGAACCTCTCATAGATACATCATACACCCGTAATGATCCAGGAAGAAGGTATTTTTACATGTGAGAATCGAGATGATGGAGAGTGCCATGTTTGGAAATGGTGGGATGTGGCTGCTGCGAAGGAGATAAGAGCTCTGGAAACAAAGTACGGCCAGCTTGCTGAAAAGGTAGACTATGTAGCCTGTTCGGAGCAAACCGCGGTTGAGACTGAGTAAAGGGTGGTTAAGACTGAGCAAAGGGTAGTTCAGTTAGAGAAGATTGTGTGTGACTTAGGTAAGAAGAAATCAAGGGTTGAATTGGTTGTTGTGCTACTTGCTATTGTTTTAGTTTTAATAGGGATGGTTCTCATGTTTTAGTATAAGTTGTAATGTCTTACTAATGTATTGTAATATTTCTGTCACAGATACTTTTTGTCTGGATTCCTAGTAATGTACAGTTGTGCGTTGTAATTGTTGTATAAGCTGTAATATTTTTAACATGAACCGTTCTAGCTGTATTAATCATTGTTGTTTGGTACTCCACGAGTTTTTGGTGATGTTATACGAGTTTGGTAACTTGCTAGACTTGTACCAAATAATAGCTTGTTTGTTTCTTCAGAAGACAACAAGCTATTATGACAAGTAGTATACTGCTAAAAAAATAAAGTATCATGGGAATTCTAAACACAAGAATATTAAACACTCTTGTAATCTATAAGTATGACCATCTACTTTCATTATACATATTCTAAGCATCACTCTTATACATATTCCAACCATCACTCGTTTTTCATTTTACATGGCATCTTCTTCCCTTTACCATTACCACAAAGATAATGATGAAGATGATCCTTTTGAAACCTCATTTGAAGATTTCTTTCAAAACTATTTTGTTATTCAAGAACTGAAAGAACGCAAAAAACGTGTTGTTATCGAGAGAAACCGGGAAGATGGCCACACTACACTATGGATGACTATTTTTCTAAAAATCCAACATACCCTCCCAATATATTCCGGTGTCGGTTTCACATGCATAAGCCACTGCTCTTGCATATCGTGCATCGTCTTTCTACAGAAGTTGAGTATTTTCAACCTACACAAGATGCAACCGGACGGTCTGGTCTTTCACCACTACAAAAATGCACCCCTGCAATTCGTCAATTGGCTTATGGAGGTGCGGCTGATACGGTTGATGAATATGTACGATTGGGTGAAACAACGGCTCGAAAATGTTTGCACAAGTTTACCGCCGACATAATCCAATTGTTTGGCGATGAATACCTAAGACGTCCCACAATGAAAAATCGTCAATTGTGTTGGAGGCGGTGGCATCATATGACCTCTGGATATGACACTTTTTTTTTGGAGTTCCAGGTACTATGAACGATCTTAATATTCTTGATTGATCACTTGTTTTTGATGACATTATTACCGGTGTTGCTCTGGAAGTCAACTTCTACGTCAACGGAAGAGAGTACCATTTTGGTTACTACCTCACGGATGGTATTTATCCAAAATGGGCGACTTTTATTCAATCTATCCGACTACCACAGGGTCAAAAACATTCATTATTCGCTACAACACAAGAATCTGTCCGAAAAGATGTTGAGCGTGCTTTTGGAGTCCTCCAAGCTAGGTTTGCTATTGTTAAAAATCCATCAAGTTTATGGGATAAAAGCAAAATAGCAAATATTATGAGAGAACGTATAATACTTCATAATATGATTGTCGAAGATGAAAGAGATTCATATACTCAGTATGAACTCTTAGAATTTCAACAAGGTACACATGAGGATCTTACATATTCCGTCGATATGTCTACAAATCTCGGAACGTCGACAAGAGTTCGGGATCGACAAGTCCATGAACAATTAAAAGCTGATTTGATTGAAAATATATGGGCGAAATTTTGACATCTAGTCAATAATAATGTTTAAATTTCTATTAATTGAATAAGATGTTTGCTTGCTTTTATTTATGATTTTTCTATGTTTAATTTTTTAATTAGTATCTTGTATGTTTTTTATTCCAACTTTGCATTTTTATTATGTTTTCAATATTAATGTTATTATATATTTTATTTTAAAATATTATCTTTTATATGAATATATATAAAAAACAATTAAAAAGTTAAGGACTCACAATTGTCCTACCAATAATCTTACCAATAATGATTGTCCCTAACAATTGTCTCTTAGCATAAAAATATTACTAAAATAAGCTAAGGACTTAAAAAAAGTCCCTCCTATAATGATACTCTTAGACCAACATTGTCGCACGTCCCACAATGAATCCTTGGAGGGGGGCACTTTTTTGCAGGGACCAAGACAAAATATCCCCAACTAAAAAACGTCCCACACACGTCCCACACATAATTGTGAGTTGGTGAGGAGAGAGAAGAACGCATGGATGATTAAGGAATTTTTAGAGTCCTACTGATAATCATGCTCTTATAGTTTAGAATCATTCTCTAAAGTCTAAATCCTATATCTACACTACACGTAGAATAGATAGTAGAGATTTGAGAGAACTCTCTAAAGGGGTAACCTGTTCCATCTCCGAAAGACCAACTTAACAAAATCATATAATATATATAATTGTAAGTAAAGTGATTTGTTACTTATTTAAAATACTTAAAATGCATGTCAAACTTCTTAATTTAAATATTAACAAAACTTCATCCAAATTCTCAGAACAATAACTACATTAATGTCTTTCTATCTTCAAAGTTTTGTCGAGAGACCTATTAATCGTCCAATGTATTAAAAATTAAATATACATTAAATTTAATAGTATATTTTATGTACAATAAAAGCAATAAATATTTTTTTTTCAGAAACTGTGGACGGCAAAGGTTTTTGAGGACTTGTAGCTAGACTTTGGAAACGTCTCGGAAACCTCACTCATGTAAATCTAGTATCAATGTTTACATGTATAGTGTCAAAATTTTGGAAAACAATTGAATAACAAGGAAACATGTCCTTATATAAAGGATTAGGGCTACAAAATTTTAATCTATCTTCTCGATTTTAGTCAAACTCTTATTCTCTTTCATCTTCTTCATCAATTGTCATTTCTCATAACTAAGAAAAACACTGTACATACGGTTACAAACTCTGTTTTGTGTTTGTCAATTCTTTCGTATGTGAGTTGTTTAGTTTATATATGCTTTTCAAGTTCCATGGTACTCAAGTTACTTATGTCTTTTATTTTGCCTTTTTTTTGTAATATCTATTTTGTTTTCTCTAGATACAAGTTTCTAAAGTTTTATTTTACATGTGAATTATGATTGGGTTTTTATATTATGATTTGATGTATATATATATATATATATATATATATATTGACGTATTCATGCCGTACCCATATTCATAAATTTTAAGTTTAAGCATTTCCCATCCCTGCTCCCGTCTCCGTATATATACCGTATTCGTTCCGGTGTAACATAGTATCTTAATCTGACGTGATATGTTGTAAACATATCTTCTCTATTAAAACAAAATTACTAAATTTATTTACTATTTAGAAGTCATGTTGGACCATGTCATTAATTATTTAATTTAACATATTTGATTGTTACATTAACAAGTCAAATATATTATTTTCAAAATGTCTTAATAATTAATAAGGATATTAATAATAAATAAATTTAAATATAAATCTGTTAAAAAAAATCTAATAAGATCTTACCAAAAAATTAAATATCTTTTATAAAATAAATAGTTCTTTATTTCGTTATTAAATATAATCTATTATATTAAAAGAGAAGTCATGACTCATTTCATGTGTGATTTTTTTTTTATTTGGACCATTAGCAAAAAACGATTTGTTAACTATATTTCATTTCTTTGTAACCACTTCAATCATAATATCTTTGATATCTTTTTATTTTAATATAAATATGTATTAATTCTTTTTAAAAAATCTGTTGAAAAGATTTTAACAAGATCTTAACTTTAAAAACATTATATAAATATTTCACTAATTAATAACTTGAATAAAATTTTGAATTAGTAATGAAAATAATTATACATTAATATATATATATATATATATATGAATATGAAAACATATTTTATTCTTTTTAGCTATTTAATAATCATAAACTATCAAATTAAATGAAATTATTATAATAAAGTGAATGTTATAAAATTATATTAAATTGATAAATTAATCAATTTTATTTTCATAAATAGAAAATATTAATGTTAAAAATATATAATATATTGGCAGAACGGATTAACATTAGTAACTATAAATACATGTATAAAATTAACATATTTTAAACTTTTATAATATAGTATTATCTTTATAAACATAAAAAAGTTTAATAAACGGTAATCTAACTTTGAAACTCAAGTAATAATTTAGTATAAATTATATATAAAATAATATGATTTTTCGTGCATATATTAATTTTAATAATTAAATATAAAGCCAATTAGATAAATATATAATAAGAAAAAATTGATATTAACGTACAAGCTATAAAACTATTCTGTTTGTAATAGTTATATAAACATTTAAACATATGACTAACGTTATTAATGATATAAAACAAATATATATATATATATATATATAACCCGCATGGTTGTGCGGGTCCAAATCTAGTTATAATTAAAACTAAAATATAAATCATATATTTAAACTCTAGTTTAACTAATTTTAGATCTCTATATCGTAATATCTAAACTGAACCCTACGGTATATCCGAGAACCGGACTAGAGACACTACTTTATCTTCTGTAACTATAACGGCGTCGAAAATTATGGCACGACAAGTCAAATAAATACCGAATAGATTTTCGTTTTTAACTCAAACTAAACCATATAATTTATCTCCACTTTCCATGGGGAAATAAACCCTAAACCCTCTTCCCCAAGTCTTTCAGTTTTTCTTACAAATCCCACAGTTCAACGCTTCTCACAAAGACCGATTTCTGTCAGACTCTGTAGTAAACTAAAACCACACCAAGATTCTTGTGATGAAAACAGCACACGCATACATAAATATGCGAGCCGAATGATCCAGAGATCATCTCTCCCTTCATTGGCGTCAGTCGAAACCCTTTTGAAGCTCTGCAAATCTGAGGTCCAGCTTCGTCAAATCCATGCCAGAATCATCCGTAAAGGTCTTGAGCAAGACCAGAACCTCGTCTCCATCTTCCTCTCGTCGTCTTCTTCCTCTCTTCCTTACTCTTCCTCTGTTTTCGAGCGTGTTCTTCACCCTTGCACTCATCTCTGGAACTGCTTTATCAGAGGATACTCTAGTAGGTTTTTCTTCTTTGACACGGTTTCGCTTCTTGTCCGTATGATGAGAGCAGGCTTGGCTCGACCCGATGAGTATACGTTCCCTTTGGTTATGAAAGTTTGTGCTAACAATGGGCAGGTTCGTGTTGGTTCTTCGGTTCATGGGTTGGTTCTGAGAAATGGGTTTGATAAAGATGTGGTCTTGGCCACCAGTTTTGTTGATTTCTATGGTAAATGTAAGGATTTAGTGAGCGCACGCAAGGTGTTTGGTGAAATGCCTGAGAGAAATGCAGTTTCTTGGACAGCTTTGATTGTTGCGTGTGTGAAATCCGGTGAGTTAGAGGAAGCAAAGAAGATGTTCAATGTTATGCCTGAGCGTAATCTTGGTTCCTGGAATGCTTTGATCGATGGCTTTGTCAAGTCCGGAGATTTGGTGAATGCTAAGAAGTTGTTTGATGAAATGCCTAAGAAAGACATAATTTCATATACCTCCATGATTGATGGATATGCAAAAGATGGTGATATGGGTTCCGCCCGGATTTTGTTTGAGCAAGCGAGTGATGTTGATGTTAGGGCATGGTCAGCTTTGATAACGGGTTACGCGCAGAACGGCCAGCCAGACGAGGCGGTGAAGATGTTTTACGAAATGTGTGAGAAGAATGTCCAACCTGATGTGTTTATAATGGTGAGTTTGATGTCAGCTTGTTCCCAGATGGGTAGCTTTGAATTATGTGAACAGGTTGATTCTTATCTGCACCAAAGCATGGTGAACAGATTTTCTAGTCATTATGTTACACCTGCTTTGATAGATATGAATGCCAAATGCGGCCACATGGACAGAGCCGCTAGATTGTTCGAAGAGATGCCTCAACGTGATCTTGTCTCGTATTGTTCGATGATGGAAGGAATGGGTATTCATGGGTGTGGAGGCGAAGCTGTTCGGCTGTTTGAGAGAATGGTAGAGGAAGGTATTGTTCCCGATAGTGTTGCCTTCACAGTAATATTGAAAGTTTGTAGCCAAGCTAAGCTTGTTGAGGATGGCTTAAGGTATTTCGAGTTGATGCAAAAGGAATATTGTATTGTTGCATCTTCTGATCACTATTCCTGTGTTGTGAGTCTTCTTAGCCGATCAGGAAAGCTTAAAGAGGCCTTTGAGCTTATTAAAGTCATGCCTGTGGAACCTCATGCTAGTGCCTGGGGTTCGGTTTTGGGTGGTTGTAGTGTGTATGGAGATTCTGAGATAGCAGAAGTAGTTGCAAAGCGGCTCTTTGAGCTTGAACCGCAGAGTGCTGGCAACTATGTGCTTTTGTCAAACATGTATGCAGCTTTAGACCGGTGGGCAGATGTCGCTCATGTTAGGGATAAGATGAAGGAGAATGGCATCCAAAAGATTGCTGGTCGAAGTTGGATAGGTCGATAACCACCTACTTGTCATCTAACTCGTGTCAATGGAAGTCTTTGCATAACTTAAACAAGACATTCTAGCAAAAGGACCTAAAGTAGTTCTATCGTTATAGCTTTATTGATTGTAAATTTGTTTCACTTCTTTTGATGAAGTCATTTACTAAAACAGAACCCGCCTAAGACATCACTGCGTCCAATGATTTTATCACCTTGCTCGAGTGTTTCAGAGACGTGAGATTCTGTTCAAACTGAGAAACATTAAGAGAGATGATTCGAGTGACATGTCGATTGCTAGAGAATTGAGATATACTTTATCAGTATACTTCTGTACGTATTATAGGTTCCAATTCCATTCTGTTCTCTGGATTAACAGTCTGTTTTTTTTGTGGAGAAAAACCGTCTATTTATTTATGTTGCAAATGAAAATGGAACGAATAAAACTAAATGTGGTGCTCATGTGAAGTGATTAAGAATGTAAAGATCAATGTTTGGACTTCACATGTAAGCATTTTTCTTTTGCTTTTTTTTTTTACAGATAGAATCCTTTTGTGCTTTCAACTAATGATGGCAATTGGGCCCTCCCATCTCGTTCTAGACCGCTGTGGACTTCAGTTCATTCGGGTGTTTGCAAGTGGTTCTGCCATGTACCGCGGTTTTTCATGGCTCTGTTCAATATCCCCCCCCCCCCACGCAAAACTAGCAAATCTTTGCGGGCAGGTCTGCAGAACTTTACACAATGCACGTCAGGATGTTTCAGAACCCGATTTAGGACGTTTCAAGATTCTGCAGGACAGGATTTTGGTGGCATATTAAATTGAACATTATTGTTGAGTCCTTCTGTATCTAATTTTATTAACTTTAATCATACTTTAGTCTAGTTCTTTTGTTACATACTTAATATTCACATACATATGTATAGAACTACAGATATAAGTGCATTGCATATTTTTCATAAGTTTAAAACCCACAGCCAATACTTAAGTAGTTAAGTTTGTTGATTCCAAAAATTAAATAAAACCAAACATCAAGTTAAAGCTGCCAATCCCAAAAAGAAACAAAAAGAACATACCAAATAAAAAAAAACAAATCACACTTTTTATTCTTCAACGTCATCATCCACAATTGATTCAAATGATAGGGAGTGTCTTTTCTTCATCATCAACTTTATCTTCTGCAAGTAAGAATAACTGAAATTAGTAAAAGATATATTGAAAAATAAAACCCCAAAAATATGATAACGTGAACAATGTACCATGTTCATAAGCTTTATATCTTTTTTGCCAATTCTTACTACATATCATAGCTTACACATTTTTTGGAAGTAGACGATTCCTATACTTGTTAAGAACTCGCGATCCAATACTAAATGAGGACTCTGAAGCCACTGTTGTTATAAGAATACTCACCAGATCGCAAGCCATTGCAGACAAATTACCATACCGATTACTACAAAGCTCAAAAATCAGCTCACTGTGGGGGTAATTGGCATGTACCCAGTAATAACTTGATTTTTTACAGAATTTAGCATAATTGACACAAGAAAAGTATATTTTGGGAGTTGCCTTATTGGAAGGATCTTCTTTTGTGCCACAACCTCGATATGATGCATATAGAGAAGAGTGTTTTTTAGAACATCGTGAATACAATATCGAATGTCCAAGGGAAGACAAAAAAATTGCATGAAAGCAAGGCTGAACTTACCTGATATTTGCTCAAGAAGTGAGTTACATATAAAAAATAATGGAAAATTTTCAGTTCCGATATTCATATTGTCATCAGAGCAAAAGTTGATGTTGTTCAACTGGGTAGCATCAGAAGTGAAGTTCCCCCGATTGGTACATGTAAAAAGTTCAAAGTTCTCCAGGATAAAGAGTAATGATTGTCATGTCTTTATGCAATGACTAGTTCTCTTTGCATTTGCACAGCTACTTCCAACAAAAGTATATGAAGCACTTGCAAGTAATATATTAAGAATTCATTTCTTTATTTATAAATGCACAAATAAATAATCTGAATACTAAAGTGTTTAATTATATTTTTTTGGAATATACAAACAACTCAAGCATTTTTCAGGGACCTGAGCACACGCACTCTAAAAAAGGATGTCCTTCAACAACTTCATGAGAACATTCCCATTTTATTGTGAAACTTTAGAAGATATTTCCTATGGCATCTTTTGACGTCATGGAGCTTCTAATTGTCCAGCTCCCGTATGAGACAATGCTTTGTGGTCCTGTACATTACGGATGGATGTATTAGTATGAGTGATTCATGAAACATTTGAAAGAAAAAACCAAACACCTCGCAAAAGTTGAAGGTTCTATAGTTACTGGAAGTTTGATGGAAGAAATATCTCACTTCACATCGTACTTCTTTGCATAAAAAATACGTACTAAAAAAAGAGCTTCAAGAAGATATGATGATGGTGGTGTCACACCAACATATGCGGTTGATGATGTTCCATACATCTTTTTCCAAATTGGACGAATGGGTAGAAAATTGAAAGATGTTTGGTGGTCGAGTAAAGAAGATGCCCATAGTGCACACATGTATATTCTACTCAATTACGAGCATACTTTGATGTGTGATTTCGAAAGTAATATATATGGAAACTTATGAACACATATAAAAATATATATATATATATATATATCGATTGATTAATTAACACAAAATGTGACTGTCCAGCCAATTTGTTACTCAAGTTAAAGAAGCAATACCAGGGATATCCATAAGTGAGGTAGACAAAAGGAAAGATTAACACTTTATTAAGTGGTTGAGGAGTCAGGTAATAACTCAAATTTTTATGGCATACATCTGTATTTTTCGTTAATATTAATAATTTTAGCGTTCTCTTTATTTTCGCAGGTTGACTAAGACGATCCATCTTACCCTCTATGATTTCACGAATTAGTTTAAGGTCCAGTTGGAAAGATCACGACATCACCGATATATTTCACATGAGACTTTATTTTTTCATACATATGAGTATGGTAGCCGGCGGGATAAAGTAATTATGGAATATATGTGAAAAGAGAAACATAATTCTATGGGATCTTGTAAGAGATCATTCAAGTAGAATTCATAGGGTTATTGAAGCTGAAATGCGTCTTCATCAAATGTGATTGGTTCGATCCCATCATCAACAGATATGTTCGGTTTAACAAATTGGGTGTTTTGGATGTCAATGCTGGAAAATGCAACAAATTTGAGACATTCATATTAGCTTTGAAAGAAGATCAAGTTTAGCTTCATTTCATACCCTCGGCTGAAAAACTCTGGAATAAATTGGTTAATTGTTATCAAAGTTACACCTCGTAGACGAATAATCAGTGGAGAAGAACCACCTTTGCAAGAAGAACACATCAATGAAGTCAAGGAACCTGACCAACAAATTGATGACATCCTTCTCATTAATCCGCATAATTGTGAATACGAAGATCTTCTCGACGATATGACGGACGAAGTTGTAGGACACAAATTTGATGAAAATGATGATGTTTCTAGTGATGACTCGAATGTCAGACTTAATACATGTGATTGGCTTGTTTAGTTATGAAATTTGTATTAATAGACTGATTTTAGGGTTAAGAAAAATGTTAAGGGATTTTTGGATTGAGGATTTAGAATGTAGAGATGAATCTATAAATTAAGGAACTTAGGGTTTGGGGTTTCAGGTTTTAGGGATTTAGAATAGTTTGTCATAACTTCGACGTAAATGAAAATGTAGGATTTGGATGGTTATTCGTAATACATTTGTCGTAAATTACTCATACAATTTTAAGCTTTCGTTGTAAAGTCCACATAAAAAGAAAAAAGGAGGACTTGTTAATGCCACATTATAGAAATCGTTGTAAAGTCCACATACACAGAAAACGCGGGATCTGGTTTATTTCTCGTAATGTTACGTGGATTTTACGATGAAAACACGGGATCTGGTTTATTCCTTGTAACGTTACGTGGATTTTACGAGGAAATGTAATTTTGTATATATACACGAACACTCTTCCTCTCTATTTCGTAGTCTTCTCCTCTTAGACTCAAGGTTAGTCTCTTTACTCTCTCTCGAGTTTAGGTGGTTAGTTTTAGGGTAATTAGTTTAAGGTATTTAGGATTTGATTAGGTGGTTAGTGTAGAGAATTTTTAGATAGATTTATGGAATTTGTAAACGAAAAATTAAAATATTTGATTACTAATTTTAATTAATTTTTTTTTTCCAGATGGTTAGGAAAAAGAGGCTTACATCTCATTACAGAGAGATGTTTGGTGTACCTGGTAGTCATTCAGGTACATCATCTTCTTCAGATCCCAATTCTTCTGTTCCGGATACAGTTCTCGACTCTCAGTCTTCTCAAAGAGTTTCTTAGACGCCTCCTTTTGCTGCACCGCCGGTGTTTCTTTTTGCTGCTCATCCGCCGATTCCTCAGTTTGCTGCACCACCGGCACCTCCAGATCATGTTCTGGACGAGGTGCCTCCTTCCCGTGTGGCTGGGATCCATCCCGATTTTCAGGTGCCGCCAAATGCTCCTTACGCTAGATACACCGTGGAGGACCTTCTCATTCAGCAAAACAGATAAGCTTTACCAGTCTTAGACCCCGATCGACCGGAAAATACTTTCTGGTATGTAATACTTTTAAAAGCTATTTTAATTTATAAATTATATCAACATTATATAACTTGTACGCTTACTTGTTTTTCTATAGGTATGGGGCTGACAATTTTTTTCGCATGGAGCGTATCCGACACAATCAAAGGCTACCTCTCCGATGCATATCCAAACAAGAGTAAGACGTCAAACTATGTCAAAACAACGTGGTTCAAATATTTCGCGGTAAGTTACTATTAATTACATACTTTAATTTGTTTTATTTTTTGATCTTAAGTTTATTGATCTAACTTTTTTTCCAGTTACAACAAAAATGGCATTGGTCCATATGAGTCAATGAGAATGTGAAGAAAACCTTTGTCTCGAAGGCGAAGGTTCTATTGACCGACATGGTCTCGAACTAGAAGGATGATTGGGTGGTGACGGGTTATGAGCAAGGGAAACCCACTAGAGTCACTCAGGAGATATGGGACGGTCTTATCCGTTATTGGACCACACCATCATCAGTTAGAGTTGCCAAAAGTTGCTCAGCTTCCCATATGAAAAAAGATGAGCATGGTAACACGCCTATGCTTCACTCATCAGAC